ACGGATGACAGCTGCGTATGACTAAATTTGTTTTCTGGTGCTTTCACTTTCAGAGACAGTTGTAAGCACTGTGTAACTGCCTCGAGGGTGCTTGACCATTTTAACACAACGTGGTGCGATCATCCCCCTTGCGCGGAGTGATAATTCTCCACCCCGCACAACATAATCTACTCGACCACCATTATGGTTACCGCCGAAAAAACTAAAACAAACGGTAACCTGGTTGCCGAGTTCACGAAGTGAATTGGCTTGTNCGGCTTGTTATACAATGTCGTTGCCAAGCGACGAAAACCCAACCCCGATGGCAAACACCGGGGGGGGGCAGGCGTTAAATACTACATTCGGAACCTTGTGTGTGTTCTCTTCTTGGGGTCCGGGGTCATGACCAGAAATGCAGAAATTCTAGCAAAACAGGCAACGTGGTGTTTTGGGCGGTTTCTTCGAAAACGAAACACCGATCGTTCTAGGCCCAACGACGGACAGAAATACTAGAGTCCACGGTGATAAATTTCATGGTCACCAAGGTACGCACCGTTCGTCAACTGACGCTGACCTTGCGAACAGCTGCTGCTGCTACTACACCCGTTTGACTTGAACACGGCTACGTGCATATTGTTCCGTGACTTTTCCGCCTTCGCGATGCCTGTGGAAGTAGTGATTCCAGCTTAAAAATTACGCAAACAAACAAACTACACCAACAGTCTTGGTTGCTGGTGATGTTGTTATCTTCACATCAAATTGAAACCGTTTCGGCCTCTACTCAGTGCCTACCTCCTGCAAAACATCCGTACCGGGCCAGCTGACGCAAACGCCTTGCGTGGTCACAGCTGAACACCCTCAAAACGATACACACCACAAAACATGACGAGAAAAAACGCAACAAAGGAAGTGCCTGGTATGTATGAAGACAACATCAACACAACAGTAGTAGACACCCCGAAAGAAACAAAGAAACAAAATAAGGCCCCAGGCTGTCATGGGAAGGGTAAACAAACACTGCAAAGCCGGCAACACGCGGTTGACGAAAACAATACGTGAATATGGGAGACAACGCAGAATCGCACGACAACCCTCCCCTCGCGAAGTCGAGTGAGAGCACCTTCGCACCTTGAACACCCGCTCCAGCGCTGCCTGGCCCCTCTTCGCGTCCGTCACGGTGAAGTTGACCCCCTGCATGGCGAAGTTCAAGCTGAAGCAGAACCCGACGAAAGACAGCAGCAGCGACGCCTGCATCGACCCGGCCAGCACAAGCCGCCCTCCGACCATCATCACGGCGAGGATGCTAAAAGGCACGACGAGGAGAAGCAGCAGACACACACGCGTGGCAGAATAAAAACGCCACCAGCATGATGCCGTTGTGGTGGGCATAGCAGGCGGCGGGGGGGGGGGGGGGGGGGGGG